AATTTTTGTTTTTTTTTTATATAAATCAATTCTATGTCATTTATGTATATTATTTAATAACATGATATAAATAATTGACGTAGGTTATCTTTAATAAGTCTATGAAATTTTATAAATAAAATTTATATCATGAACGAAATAAAAGAAATAAATATATATCGTGATACTCCTATTAGATATTTAGGTAAAAAAATCAAGTTATCTATTTTATTATTCGTAAATAATTTTTGTTCTCTTAAGTAAATTGAATAATACATTATTTTAAAAAAAATGTAATATATTATATATTATATATTATATATTATTAATTATTAATTATTTTTTTAGGATATGCAAATGAAATTGGAGAAGCTTTTAGGCCTATAATTCCACAGTCAATTGTATGGTTTAGTTATACTGTAGCCAGTGGATATGTTCTTGCAGATACAATAAACAGTGGCTTTAACACTTATTCAGTAAGTTAAATGTAAAAGAAAATATTTATATATTGAATATATAATATTAATAAAAATATTACTATATAAATCATTTTATATTTCAGAACACTGTTACTACAAAATCAAAAAATGTTTTACTTTCTATGACAGACACTTTGTTATGGCAGTCATTTGCATCTGTAATTATTCCTGGTTACACAATAAACAGAGTTTGTGCTGCTGTACAATTTATACAAAAGAAAAGCAATAATACGCATTTAAAAAATAGGTGGATTCCAACTTTAATTGGTTTAGCAGCTATACCTATTATAATACATCCTATAGATAACTTAGTAGAAGAAATAATGAATATTACATACAGAAAATGGATACGTTATTATCCAAAATGACCATCAATCAAAAATTATATTATAATTAGTATAATTAGATCAAATATTTCTGAGAATTGATTCAGTTTTCAAATGAAATAAAAAATGTTGCACTTATATATGTACAAAAATTATAATACAATTATATCTATTTTATTATACTATTGTACAAGTTGAATATTTTTATTTTGATACACATATATAGAAAATGCTTTGAAACATATATTTTAAATTAAAAACATAGCTATAAAAAAGAAAAAATAAAATGTGTTATTAATATTTTTATTTTCTTTTATAATTTTATCCTTTATATATACCAGGCTGATTAAAAATAATGTTCACAATAAAAAAAAAAATAAATGTAAATATATAAATTTTTTTCAATATTAAAATTTTAATTACATAATTATAATTTTTTTCAATATCGCACAACAAAATTTTTAATAATCTATTCCCATATACATTTATAATCCTAATGTCAGTATTGTAGCTCAAAATTAGAATGCGCGAAGTAGAGTTGTCAAGTATATAGTCAGACGTCCTTTAAGACTGAATTAAATAAATAACAAACATTATTGCTTATTCTCAAATTATATCAAATTATCATATATTCAAATATCAATTATATCAAATTGTCATATATAATAAAGAATAAATTATAATTTAATATATATTAAAAATATAATTGAAAAAATACGAAAATGAATTAACATTGAAAGTTTTTAAAATATCTATAATGTAAGTATTTGATAATTTTTTCTATAAAATGTTGATTCCTTCAATTAATCATAAGATAAATAAACCGAAATGACTCGTTAGAAAATCAATAATAATTACATGGAAGATCGTAATTCATAGCCATGTTCATTTTCCCATTTATCGTCTTGTCGGGTCAGACGAGCCAACCACAGAACAATAGCTCGACATTGCGTAGGAACGAATAGCCTGTCATACCTGTGACATATATTTTTTTCGTCACAAGTACAATCACCATGTCAACCAAGAAGAAAAACTGATCGTATTTCTTTGTTCGCGGAACTAATATCGTGATTTTGTAAGATATTTTGTTCAAACTATGATTTTAAGTATATATATATATATATATATATATATATATATAAGCTGAAATGAATTTTTTTTTGATTATGATTATTTTTTTTTTCCAGCTAATCATATATCTATTTAAATTACATATAAAAATTAAAATAAAATTATTACCTTCTAATTATTATCTTAAATTTGAATGACATTTAATCTTACATTATTGAAACGTGTTACAATCGAAATGTTTAGAGGTTAAGTAGAATTTAATTTGAGAAAGGATATCAATTTTTCATTAATTATTTCTTATGTACTTACTGCATATTATATTAATGCAATACGATTTATTATTAGTCGAGCTGCAAATAAAACATGTAAAAAAGTACAACGCTTTTCGGGATTGTGAAATTTCATGTATCTATTTTGTAAAATTTACAACATAATAATAACGGAATGTATCGAAACGGAAGCATTTTGATACCAATGATAATGTACAATCAACAGCTAGTAATTGTGTAAATTGTGTAACAATAAAATTTGTAAAACTAATAACATTTTATCGCGAATATCGTATTGATCATTAACAGTTTCATGTACTGAAATTGATAAAGTTGTCAAGAATAATTTTAGATAATAAGAATAATTTTATATAACAGATTCAAACTACTTTTTTATACTTTATCAATCGATGTTTCTTTGAATTTATTCTTTTAACTTTTAATCGTTCGATAAATAAGAATGCAAGAATAAGAAAAAGGAATTTTGATTTTAGGAAATTTTTAGAATGTGCATGTATAAAAAGAGAATAAAATACACGATCAATGGAATATCTACTTACTCAAATATCATGTTACAAATTGTCATATTCAGAGAACGGTAGATTTTTCACGGATTTTTCAAACCCTATAATAATCTTGGCAGCTTTTCAATAGTCTATAGTCTTGTAATAAGTTTGTCTTGTAATAGTCTTGTAACCAGTCCAATGTAATTTATAGAAGCTACTTGTTTACGGCTAATTATGGTGGCGGATGACCGTTATTTTTATTATTTTTTTTTTGACATTTTCGTATGTTAAAATTAAATAGAATTTTTAAAATAATTAATGCAAAAATATAATTAAAATTGTTATTGTATATATTTAAAAAAAAATTCACCGTGAAATATATGTATAATTCCTTTGAATCGTTCTCTGTGTAGTGAACAAATAATACTCGTCAAACAATATGAAAGTCACGCGCGAATCCGGATCAGAATTGAGTCGTATTAAAAAAATACTAATCGCCTAATGTTTATCTTGAGAACGACATTGACGATATTTCATGATATATATAAAACAAAAATTTATTGATATCGATTCTTAAAACCAAACATCGAACAATAGCGCAAAGAAGTCCTTAATCGATAGAAAGCAATGCGTTGCTTCGGTATACGCCTTCGTCACAAAACGAGCCTCGCGATAAGGTTATGTCTCGTGAATCGGACAGAGGGCGCATAAATACATGTACACAGATAGGTATGTATGCTATCGGCGCGAATAACAGAGGAAGCGAGAAAGAAGATTGACGTATGTTCGCGGAAAGGAAAGCGGCAAATAAAAAGAAAGAAGAAAGATGCCATGGCCTGAGATCAGGTAAATGGGAAGAAGCAAGAGAAGGAAATAAAAGGGAAAAGGAGAAGGTAGAGAAGTGAGAAGCGAAGGGCGGAGAGGAGAAAAGAGGAATATTTCGCGGGCGCGAGTGGTAAAGATTCTCTGAAACCTGTGGCATTTCGCGAGGCACTCTTCTCTTCGGTATACGCCGAAGGGGGATCGATAGCGCGTCAGAGACGAGGAGAATCAGGCGGCAGGCTATTTCGAGCAACAACACGGCGGCAGAAGCAGCAGAAGCAGTAGCAACGACAGAAGCGTCCCGTCCGCCGCTAGAGATCCGCAGCCATTCCACGGCCATGTCTGCCGGCGCACGGGGTTGGCTACGCCCGAGCGGGGCCTAGCCAGCCAATCGAAACGGAGCACGGAAGGTCCCGCGCCGTGGTCGTGTCCAATGGGCGTAGCCCGTTCTAGCGAGGCGCGCGACGTCTGGTCGAAGTAGAGGGGGGCCCTCGCGGTTGTCACAGGTGCAGCCAGTTGGCTGGCGAACTCGAGGCGAGCGTGCTCGGGATCGTTGTGTTTCATGTTTCGTGTTGTTCGGTAAAGCACACCGTTTTTAACCGGTTTTATTTCTTCGATTCGTTCGCGTTCTCCTTGAGTCGCTTCATCATTTCGAGTTATATTTTTCCGTTGCAATTTACTTCGATTCGTGAAAGATAAATAAAAAAAAAAAGAAAGAGAAAGAGTGCGGATTTCTTATAATTTGTTTATAGAAATTTGGGTAAAGTTTTGTTGGTACGGCGAAAAATAGATAGTAACGAGATTTTGGCGGAGAAGTAAAAGAAGCAGACATCTCTTAATGTGGTCCGTCGCGCGGACGCGCACGTCGCGTCTGAAAGATCTATCGCGATACCGGTCTCATCGGCGCCATGATCCAACGCGGAGTGTGTAGATCCAAAGGAAAACGACTTTAACGCGACCAAGTTTTACGATGTGCCGGCGGTACCGGCTGGTCAGCTGAGATACACGAACGGTGATAAAACGGCATCGAAATACAAAATTGGGAATTCAAATGATCAGTGATTCTATCATAGAATCTGACCAAGAAAAACATTGAGACGGAGAGTTGAGAAAATTAAAGAAAAAACCGTACTAACTGCGAAAAGATTACATCAAAAAATCGTCCATAACAAAGTGATAACTGAAACGTGGTTTATACAAACGAGAGTAACGCGAACGCCGAGATAACTCGAGGCAAATAGAATATAGAGGAAAAAGAGGAGCGAATTGTCAAAATATCGAGTGTGTGCTGACGAAAAAAAACTGGCAGCCAAGGGGGGAAGTGTGAGAAGTGCGATTTAACGGCCGTTGGGATAACACCGCAGTAAAAGTGGGTGCACTGGGGCCCTCGGGACCGTTCGGCCGATACGGGCCCGTGGAAGGTGGGCCTGGTGGTGGTCCCGGGCCCGGCAAGGGAGTGGGGACAGGGGTGGCCGCAGTCGCGGCTGGGGAGGTGGAGGGCTACGGGGGCGCCGGGGGCGGGGGAGGGGGCCCCGGGGGGGTTGGTACCCCCCGGATAAGGGTCGCGACCCTCAGCGGGCCCTGCTGCGCACCCCTGCCCGTCACCCAAGCCTGTAACATAGGTAAGTAGATCATATTTCACTTTTAATCTATTTTTCATTATATTTTTCATAATTCCTTTCCACGCGATTTTCGAGGAAATTTCTGCGAAAAATTCAAATTCCTTTTGGGAGAAATGATTTTTTCATATTTCACGAGATGAGTTTACCCGAATTATTCACTCAATATAAGACCAAGATTGAAAGTGCGAAAGAGGTTAAGATTTCTCTTAACGTGATTGTTAAGAGATAGTTTTATTGGATTCATTTATTTCGTATAGTATATACAAATTTAGCGATACAAATTTAAGTTTTACTTGTAACTGATGGGATTGTTCGTCAATCCCATTGTAAATCCGATTGCGTTTTTTTTTAAGAATAGAAATTTTATTTTTTAAGAGTAATTAACATTTCGCGTTCTATTATGAGGAAATATTTCGATTGTAAACAATAAAAGAGTAACATTGGTTTTTAACATCTCATAAGCGCCGGCGCCAGATTGGCTTCACGTATAATATCGCGAAAGATCGAAGGCTTTTCTTTTCGGATTCCTCGCAATTCGAATCGAGAGAAATCGGTTCCTTCCTTATAATATTTTTCCTCTTTTCTTTTTTCGTAGACAGTAGAAAGAAATGCCGTTCGTTCGCTTATCTTGATTGATCGTACCGTAATTTGGGTGTCATTGGAATGCGCGTTTTTTATCCGTAGTGATGGATTGTCCCGCGTTTCGAATCTAACGAGGATAAATTTACCTCAGACAGGGTTGAACACTCGTCGAAATACGCGTCATTGTGCGTAACGAATAATCGGATTGGAGAAAATCGTCATCTTTCTCGATGCAAATGTAAACAGAATTATACGTGCAGCCGATTGTTCGACGGATTTTTCCTTCTTCTAACCGTGAAAAAATGATAGAGGTTGAAAGAAAAAAAAAAAAAAAAAAAAGGAAAAAAACGCACTGTTACTCGCAAAAATTAATGAACGATGACGAACTCGAGGAATCAAACTGTGCTAAGCTAAGAAAAAAAGTAACGACTTCTGTGAGAAATATCCGCTACAAATCATGGAAGTATGATCGATTTTAAGCGGCCGATACGGATATCGAATCGTAGCGACGGAAAAGTAATATCCATCGTGCGTTAACATATTAACGACAAGGCGATAAAATAACAATATTTTATTAAGTCTAGTATCAACGCAGCGTTATCGAATGAAAATAAAAAATTGTCGATAACTGTCCCATATCGTTTCTTCTTTCTTCGCCGTTAATTAATTCAATTTCTTTTGAAATTCTTCCTCAAACTCTTTTTTTTTTATCCGTCAGGTCATTATGCGTTAGGCACATTCTTTGTTCTTATCCTTCGCAGAGAGACAATGCAAGAAAACAAAACTGCGGAAGAGTTTAAGAACGCGCATTAACATATTCCGAAGGGTGGCTGGAAGAAAAATATTGACACTAAAGGTATCGGATCACTTGTTCGACTTGGTGGATTTGCGTAGCGCCGCAATCGTATTGATTACTAATTCACCGTGACTTTACGTAACGTTTTATGTTAACTGTTGAACCGATTAATTACCCTCTTGCCACTGTTCCCATTATAATTCTACCTATCCAATGACTTACGTTCACGTGATAGTTATGAATTTTTACATTTCGACTAAGAAATGCTTATAAATTCGAAATGAAAATTTTTCAATTGAATAAATTTGCCCGATTAAATTTATATCGATGTTAAATATTTATATAAAGCATTATTTATTGCGATTAAAGGAAAATTAAAAGTATCCGGATATCGGTTTAATAAAAGAAAGATTTTCGAGGAAAGTGTGGCACGCGTCGCACGATTGATGGAAATGAATCGGATTAATCAACCCTCGTTTTCGATCGTTCAGATTTTCGTCTCACGTACGTCTAATCTGGTTTGAACGATTCAAGGGAAATCATTGCGTCCTCCGCTTCTTTTTCACGCGCCACGTCCGTGAAATCGGTTCTCGTGATATCTGATTTAACGAATGGAAGGTCGACCACCGTTAGAAGGATGCGTATTTCAGAGACAGATTTATCTCTTTCTTTATCTCGATATTTTTTTTTTTCTTTTTTTTTTTTTTTTTCACTTCTTATAACTATAACGTGTACTATAACTTCGTCAACTTTTCTTTCCTTATTAATCTTATCTAGTTGCGATAGATTTCGAGGATGAAAGTTTAAAGTTTATCAGAAACGTGGATCGCGTCTTTATCGCGAATTGAACGCGACGTGACCGATCCTAGTGTCCAACTAGAAAATATTCCGTGGGAAACACAATTTCGCCGTAGGAATTACTCGTAAGTCGATTTCGCGTGGAACGATTTAAATCTCGAGGTAACCGCGGGGTGGTTCGGGTCTCGGGTCGAGTCGCGTTTCTCCTTTTTCTTCTCGCCCTCCCGCAGCACGGAGGGAGATGAGATGCGCAAGGTCAGACCTTAAGGGGTGGGAGAAGGGTTGCTAGGTTGACAACCCTGCTAGCAGGGAGGAACTCCGCCCATTGGCGGAAACCGCGAAAAAAAGAGAGGAGTGAACCCTAGAGGGTTCAGCAATGGCGAAAAAAGAAGTCGGAGGTCGGAGGGTGCGAGAGAGGTAGAAATAGACGGAGATAGACCCGTGGGTAACTGGAGGCAAACGGGGAGGCGAAGAAAACGTAATAGAGGGCAATCTCGTCCACGAATGTTAATTAACAACGAATTGTAATCATCGAGCGGCTCGTTCGACGGAGCACACACTCGCTTGATGGCTATTGACAAACAATTATGATACCATAAAGATACAAGCGCGATCATTAAATTTGATGGCATAATAGATTATGTTGCTCCTTGAAACAGAAGTGTTATACACGGTCAACCTTAACCGTGTTATTATAACTTTGGGATGATTTTTCATTTTTAGTTTTTTTTTTTTGTTCCTTTTTTCTGAGAGAGAAAAAAAAAAAAGAAAATTCGTTTCGAACGGTGTGGATAACACAGTTACGTGCACGACAAGCTTAAGTTTTTATCTTACCGTGTATTCTTTCCGTTTTATTGCATCGCATTATCGATCATCTTGAAACGTTTAATTTTCTTTTTCGTTTTCAAAGGGGAAATTCATTTATTCGAGATACGCACTTGGACGAGCTTGCTTCGACATTAACAATAAGAAGATTGCATTTCTGTTGCGGTATTACGTTTTCTTTTCGATTCGTATTTCGTATAGTTTGACAGGCTGCACGGTAATCAAAGCGTTTGAATGATAAAAAAATGTCTGTACAATACGCGGTTCGTTATGCACGTGCGTAATCACCGCCGGTACGGCCGATTTCCTTTCAGTTCATAATCTAATCGATAATCAGGAATGTTTCAAATCGAATCCGCGCGTGTTCGGATTTTTCCTTTTTTTTTTTTAACGATCCTACGATTAAAATGTTCGCGCCAAGAAAATTTCTCAACGCTCGAGAGAGAGAGAGAGAGTTTCTTCAAAAATTTTCCTCCCCCTTTTCGAAAGAGGGGGATCGATCGAAACATTGTAGTTCCGTTTTTATTTGAGAACGTTATGCAACGCGGAACTAGGACAATCTCAAAGCACGCACACACACATATATACACACGATCGAAACTATTGTGTACAGTTGAAATACACAGAATGTCGCAGAAATTTCCTCGTTTTCCGCGTTTCGTTTTTCGCACGATGACGCGCGCGTTCGAACGTGCGCGAAATTAAAACGCCTCGTCAGGTCGCAGCCGCGCGCTTTCCATCAACTTTTCTCGACGCTCGACGTTTTCGCTTCTATGGATATTTTTCAAACTCGCTCGTTTTTTTTTTTTTTTTCTCCCCTCCCCCCACCGATCGTATAAATAGCCGCGAGAAAACCCTCTGCCTCTGCCTCCTCCCATCCCCTTCCCCCCGCGCGATAAATCGAACGCGAGCGTATTTATTAAAATTGTTATATATATATATATATTTATATTTGTTGTATATATGTATATATCTATATTTGTGTTTTATAATGTTAAACTACGTTAATCGGTCTCGTTTAAATCCTCTGTATTCACAGATGCTCTCTTTCTTTTCGAAGCAGGGAGACGTGGTTTGGCGATGCTCCTGTCATGTGCAGGATGCGAGAAACCAATTATGGATCAGTACCTGCTGAATGTTTTGGACCGAGCATGGCACGTCGAGTGCGTCCGCTGCTTCGATTGCAGAACCACGTTGCAGGACAAGTGTTTCTCAAGGGAAGCGAAGCTATTTTGCAGAGAGGATTTCTTCAGGTAAGTAATCGTTCCTATCAACTTTTGCATTTTGCTTTTTCTTTTTTTTTTTCTCTCTCTTCCTTGAGATTGAAAAAAAGATTAGGAAGAATTATAGGCTATTTGAGTTTGCCGAGTTTGGCCAGGGATGATGATTAGAGACGCGTTCGAAGGATACCGATTGTCCGCACGAATGACATTATTTTCTTCCATTAACGTATCGTTACGTTGATTCTCATCTATTCGAGATTGACTTTTTCATAAAAAATCGAGGAAACGAGAATTTATCGTTCTCGCCATTCTCCAAATACTTTAATTTAAAATTGAAACATTATGAAGATATTTCGAATCAAAGTTGTAATTGCAATTCAAACCGAACAGTCGAAAATCGATCAACTATTTTGACTATATATACGAGTGCGCTCGATGCGGGGGGTAAAAAGTTACTGGTCGAAACAATATGAACAGGTACGAACGCCATTAGTTAGTAATTCATCGAAACGAACTTGTCCCTCCAGTTCTATGTAATAATTATCGTTCGAGCTCGTTTCGTCGATAAAACTTAAATCAGTCCTCGTTATGAGAGATGTCGCGGAATTTTTTTTTTTTTTTTTTTTTTCTTCCCCTTCCCCTTTCCATCGAGCAGAAGCTCGTGTACCGGCATCGCGACTATTTCCCGTTTGCATAATTAAATAATTGGCTGTGTCACAACTGGTACCGAGCAGGCGACGAACCGCTAGAAATCGAAAGATTTACGATGCATTAGGGGGACAATCGCGGCGACGTTTGTTGTCCGTCGATATTTTTCTTTCTTTTTTTTTTTCTTTTTTTTTTCTTTTTTTTTTTCGTCGCTTTTTACGATTAGAAGACGTTGATAGGTGGGTCGGTGGTGGTGAGGCAGAGGCGAGGCGAGGCGAGAAAAAAAAAAAAAAAAAAAGCATTTCGAGCGACGAATGGAAAGGAGGGCCTTGACATTTTCCCAGACAGCTCCCGTCGTTATTTCATTCGATCAAGCTTCCGAGGCAAAAATCTCTCGCTCGATCGAAAGCCGTTCCGTGAACGAAACGCGCCACCGCTATCGCGATTCGTTACGCGGTTCCACCGACGTTAGTCGTATCGTATATCCTATGGCCGGAGAGTCGATTTCTTGGTGGCGATTCGACAGACTTCGAGACTCCGGTTTCTTGCCACCTTCCACCTTCCACGCCGAGAGTAGACGCGTTAAATGGAAACAACCTCTCGAACGGCCCACTCTCTCTCTCTCTCTCTCTCTCTCTCTCTCGCTTGCCCTTTTGCGCAGAGAAGTTTTCGGTATAAATCACTCGGGAAATAAAATTCTAATTAACGAGACCGCGTTGAAAAGGAATTCGCCCGTTCAATAATTCGCCCTTTCGATCTATTCGATCGGGCGAGATGCGATACGATTCTCGTTACGTCTTTATCTGAAAAATAAAAAGCAAAAAAAAAAAAAAAAAAAAAAAAAAAAAAAAAAAGAAAAAAATAAATAAACGGTGCAAAATCGTAAACTAACTAACGATTCTTATTTGTTTCCCCCCTTGTGACAAGGAACGAGGGAACGTTTAAAGGAGGATCGTCAGTCACGTCGTGGAAGATTATTGCGAACGTATTGATTTACGAACGTGGTTCGGTATGGAATATTTATGATGCGGTTTGAATTGATGATCCCAAGTGACTCGGGAACCAAGTCGGATCGGTGATTTTGAAATATCCGATGTTTAAGCGAGCGAGATCCTCGGGGAAACTTTTCTCTCGGGTCTTCTCGGTTTCGCGAGAAGTCGTCCGCGCCCCTCGTCCAGCTGGACCTTGACATTCGCGTGAAAAACCGATCTGAAGAGCGTGAAGATGGGTCGAGATCCGCTTCGTTTCAAGCCGGTGCCCGGTGATTTTGTCGTGGGGATTCGAGGAAGAGGTAAAGAGAAGCGATTAAAGAGTGGTAAGAAATAGCGTCGATCGGTTGAATTAAATTATCAAGAAATGTTGGATTTTTCATCGTTGATCCGCGCGTTGATCGTTTCTACTTCCAATTTTCGTTTCTTTCTTTCCTTTCTTTCTTTCTTTCTTTCGCAATTATAAAGTTGAAAATGATGTAAATATCTGTTAAATAATATTTAACGGAGGGTACAATCGTGGAATCGTAAAGGGAGGGGGGAAAAAAGTATTGCAAAAAGTGTGTGACGAATGACGAAGGGCTTGCATCTCGATTATACGCGAGAGTCGCGTTAAAAACAAAGGTTAGAGGAAGAAACTTTTGATTTTGCGTAGAAACAATTAATTTCATTATTCTAATCGTATATAGATATTTGAAAATATTGCAATTGACGTGAACGGTGTTTCGAGGCAGATTCGAGTGAAGGGATAAAAAGAGAGGGTGAAATATAATATTAAAATGTCACGATAAGAAATGGACAGAGTATGGAGATATCTCAATATTGACAAATTTGAAACGACAATAGGGATGACTGTTCTTGTTTACCACGAAATAAAATCATCCACCTTCCCGATTCTCCGTCGTCTCTCCTTTCGCGACTTCTGGAAGCGATGAACGATCCCCTTTGTAGCCAAGGACCCGAGAACACGCGGAAAGTGGGGAGGGCGTGTTTAAAGGGGGGCCCTTTGATACTTATACGAACGAGTGTATAACGAACGTGTTGTATACTTTACGAGCCACTTTGCATTTCATCCCGATGAAAAATTCATTAGATGTAAGACGAACGGTTGGCTACGCTCGAGCGGCGTAGAAAAGCTTTTCGGGTCAAAAATAACTCGATCCCCGGCGTCCCGTTAATTAGCGTTATCCTCTTTGCTACCGTTACACGCGGCGCGAACAGTCGATCGGCAATCACGCATTCTTTTAAATCGCCTCTTGGGATTAACGCTCGCGCGTCACGCGGCGGGAAATCGGGAGTGCGTTCAAATCGGTCGATCTCGAGTCCGCGTCGAGTTTGTTTCGCGTAACGGAGAAGGGGGAGGGGGAGAAAAAACGCGAAACTAGCCGTAGAAACGAAGTCTACGGAGAAGAGAAACGGTAGGCAGGGCAAGAGGCCGATCGATTCCCACGACGACGACGACGACGACGACGACGACGACGACGGGGAGGGACGAATCTATCGATGTCGTTTCTCGGATCGAACTATCCCCCTCCCGCTACGAGGGAATCGCCGTTGGGAATATAGCGTAACACCTCCGGGAGGTCCACGGTATGGTTGGAAGGAACGGTACGCACGGTTATGGTAACCGGCTCTACGAGTCGCAGCAAGGTCCTTAAAGGTCGATAATGGCCCATGGGGGCCCGAAAGGGTCCAGGATCAAAAGAACCGATGTCCCCGTTTCAGCGCCGCCTCGACTGCCGTAGCTTGCGGTCGATGGCCCTCTGTGTACCCACCAAGAAATTATTACCTTAAAATATGGTCCACCACGTCGTCGAAATACGCCCGATGAAAACATTAACTCGGGGCTAGGGGGATGGTGGCGGTGTCAACGGAGAGAGACTCGAGACTCCTAGCGCCTTGTCGCCATAATAATCCGCCAAGAGTCGGTTAGGGACCGGATTTTCGCTTATTCCAACTTGTTCCCCAGTTTTTCGAAAAAGTTCTCTCGCGATCTCTAGTGCCTTGTGTGGGTGATATTCCACCAATTACACGCGGGAATAATTTATCGAGGCATCGATGGCGCCGGCTCGCGAGCATTTTTCTTTCGGTCGAAATAAATCATAACCAGCGGTGTTGCAACCGTGTGCATTTCGATCTCGATTCTCGTCGATAGAACGAGCGATAAACGAATAATCTTAATAATCTTAATAACGCGATCACGACGATTCGTCGTTCCCCATTCGAATCGAATTTCGCCTACATTTTTTTCCGTTCCGAAAGAAATTCGATCTCTCGAAGGGTGGTATCTAGGATAGAGAATAGATATCCTCTACGAGGAAAATGATGGAAAAGTTGGGATCAATTAACACGCTTGGAGTCCGAATCTCTGAATCTGCCGTTGCCACGGTGGCCTGTTTCCAAGCCTGGTGCGAGCCAAGTTCCGCGGGGAGAGAGGGGAAGCGCGGAAGACAGAAACTGGGCGATGGACGCCGGCTCGAAATCAAGGGGAAACGATCGAAATCGATCATAGATCGGCGTAGCTTTTCTCGGGGTTTCTCTCGAGTTCGAAAGGGCGCCGACGAGAGCGGCCTCTCCCATTGTCCTTGCTTTCCACCCGCGGTGTTGGCCTCCTCGGGAGTAGAGACCCGTCGAAACTCGAACGTGGAAACATTATAAATGCGGCGTGACGCCCGCTACGAACCGTAGGAGAAGTTTGTTGGGCGTGACGGGGCCGGCGCGGTCGAGAACAGAAAGAGAAACGGGGGAGAGAAAGAGAGGGAGAGAGGGAGGGAGCGAGGAGGGAGGAGGGGTTAGAGGGAAGAAGAGAGAAAGAGAGAGAGAGAGAGAGAGAGAGAGGGGTACAGAGTTGTTTCCCTTCCAGGAAGGTACGGCAATAGTATATATCGCGATGCGTATTCATACGTAGGGAACGTTTTTGCCAACCACCGGTCTCTTGCGTCATACTCTCGAGACAGGACCCTGTTCTCTGTCATACGTCGTACGCGGCCCATACGTGGTCGAATTATTCTTTTTTCCCTCCTTCTCCTCCTCCTCTTTTTCTTCTTCTTCTTCTTTTACTCTTACTCATTCTCTCGACCTTTTTTTTTTTTCCTTTTTCAATCTTTTTATCAATTATCCACTCGGGTCCTCGTGACAAAAGTTTAATCGGGATTACGTAAGTGGCGAGCGCAGTCGTGGCGCGGGTTCGTTTAACGATCGTTTGTCATCTCGTTACGCTTGGTATTTAGCCGCGAATCGTGGAGAAAGTGGCACGGACACCGGACCGATACCGCGAAAGTTCGATGAGGAACGAGGACGAAGATGGAAAAGGACTTTATGCAAACGGCGCTGCGTTTCACGGTGTGTCGCACGGCCAACGCCGACCCATTAGCATAACTGTTATGAACCGTTTTCTCAGCCATGCCTTCACCCTCTCTTCGCCCCGTTTGGTAATCGGCGATATTTCAGGAATTAATCGGCGCCAGCTCGAAACTGGTCCCGACAACCGGGTTGCAACCGGGTTACGATCTTTCCGCGCGATAAAGTGAAAATCGCGCCGGCGAGTCGCGCTCGAGTCGGCGATGAAGGAAAGGAGGTGTCGGCTCTCCAAGGTTGTCGCTTCTCCGACGAGAGAATAATAATCGAGCGAGAAGGAAGAAATCGATCGGTCTCGAGAAACGGAAACGAGCGTTTGTTCTCCCGCGCCGCTAATTGGATTCGGTTAATTAGACTTCCGCCGCCCGAGCGATCTCGCGGCTGTTTATTTCCTTTATCGGCGTATCCTTTATAGCGAGGCGTAGGCGCATGTGCGCTGATGGGAACCAACTCGAGAGATGGAAATTATGGGAGCGATCACGATCGAAGTTCGCGAAGAAACGCGAAAAATCGAGAGAGCTTCCACTCGAAAAAAAAATGATTCGTTTCCCGATTTTTCTTTCGTTTCGATCGGAGAATTCATCGTCGATTTCTCGGCGAGGCGAGATCGATCGCGGTCGACGATTTTCTCCCGGTTTCGTTCGTTCGATGGATTCGATCGAAGGTGAAAAAGCGTTTGGGATAGAAGTCGCGACGACGAACGAACAGCTTCCACATAGTTGTATCGAAAAAAAGGGACTGCGCGCATCGTAGCACGGATGGACGACGCGGAGAACCGAGCACGCACCGCATACATAAACTCGAGGCTCCGTGGCAAATCGTGGCCCGGACCCACCCCCTTTTTTTCCCTTTTCTTTTTTTTTCTTATCCGAGGCCCGCTGTCCTATATTTCTTGCTACACGCCAGAATTCCTGGCTCTTTACGCTCTCCTCCTTAAGGGAGCCCGAGAAGCCCACACCCCCTTCTTCTTGGGACGGCGGGTCGCCCTCATCGAACCGCTTTCTCACACACGAACGAGCCACGAAAGCACCACGTAAGCCTTTCTATTAATGATTTTTACGGCCGGCCTCCGTTTCTTTTTCTTCCACGAGGAAGAAAGGACCTGACCGGGCTGCTGCCCCTCGCGCGCCCTCGAAAAAACGAGAAAATCGGTCGGGGCAGACGCGCGTCCATCGACGAAAGGGCGGCGAAGAAGCGTGGGACGAGAGGGAAGGAGGGAGGGGAAGGGAGGAGTCGGTGATTCGGTGACGTATGCATTCGGGGAAGTTGACACGGGATCGGCTAATTGCTATAATTAATTAAATAATTCCTGTAATTAGACTTAGGGGGATTGCGCGCGAGGAGGAAGGCGGAGGATAGGGAAGGATAGGTATGGTACGGGAGGGGGAGAGGAGGGAGAGTGCGAAGAAAGGGAGAAGGGAGGGAGAAGCTCTGGCAGCGTAATGACCGTTGGTCGAGAAATATCTCCGGCTTCTGCTTCCGTGAGAAGATTGTTAGGAACTGCGAGTAGGACTGCTAATTTGGACAGGTTGATGAATAGTTTGAAAAAGTGTGCCGGTTGATTATAGGATATTCCGCGTAAATATCTATAGATGATCGCGTCGATCGACAAAACGGAATCCTTGTAATTTGTACCGCTCTTTTTCCCCCCCCTCCTCCTCTCGATCCTCGTCGCTTGTTTCCCCTTGCTCTAAGCAAACAAAGTTCCGCGCCCGTCGTCGTGTTTCCACTGTAACGAAACGATCGGTCGTCGAGTAGAAATGATCGACGATGAGAGAGAGACAGGGAGAGAGAAAAAAATAAAAAAAACGCTTGCCTCGTTTATTTTTCTCACGAACGACGAGCGAGGAATCTTGCGAATTTTCTTCGTTCGTGTTAAACGAAAAGATTCGAAAGGGAGAAGGAATAATACGAAATTAGTAAGAATGGACGAGATTGGCGCGATGTAGGTGATCGCGCGAGTAAACTCGACGGCGAGTTTCCGGTCGAGGAAACGCGCGGGATAATAAAATAGCGGTGAACCGATATTGCACGCGCGAGCAACGGGAAAATTCTGGCTCTCCGGGAGGGAGCAGCATCCACCCCCACCGGGGATTTGAACGCGAACACGCGTTTCGGAGGCAGCGCGTGGTCGCGGCTCGGCCGGAGGTGAAACTCGCGCCGCGAGCAACCTCGCCTACCTCGAGTGCCGGCCATCGATTGAGATGTATATTTACTTTCGAAAGCAGCAGCAGCAGCCCTAAAGGGACCACGGGGGTAATTGCTATAATTAATCGCGCGATTCCTGTAATTAAAAAGATTACGGGATTACTAGGTGGAAAGTATGCGGTGCTTCCGTAATAACACAGCCGCGGAAGGATCGGACGGACGAATCCTTTTCGGTTTAGATTTATCGCGTGAAACGTGTTGCGGCCGTGTCGTTGGGATGTTACGACGCGTGTTTTTAAGAAAAAAAAGGAAAGGAAAAGAAAGAAAAGGGCGCGTACCCGTTCCTTTTTCGCGCGAATCGTCGGCTATTTTGCGCCTCGTAATTTCTTTCTTCCCTTCCTTTCTTCCTTCTTTCCTTGCTTTTTTTTCCCTCCCCCCGATCGATCTTGGGGAAAACGGAGCGGTTTACGACAAAGAAACGATCTCGTTCAACGAACGATTAGGTAAAAGAAGAAAAAAGTGAGAGGGGAAGGGGAGGGAGAAGAAAGAACGGCTAATACAAAATTAACGGCGGAATTAAAGGAATAAAAGGGGGAGAGAGAGAGAGAGAGAGAGAGAGAGGAAAGAAAAAAGAAAGAAAAAGGAAAATCGAACAGGCGCTGGCGCTGGTTACCACGTTGCGCTTTTACAGCACCGAAGGGTTTTAACTTTTTATGCCCTATCGGGACGTTAAAGTCCCATCTCTTTAAAAGCGCCATATTTCTTTTATCGACGTTTGCGAGTGGAGCGGCTTAATGACAGGACTTGTAAGTTTCGAGTCCAATAAACGTCGTCGACGTACAACATTGACTTTCCTTTTCGTTCGTTTCGTTCCGAGTCGCGTCGACGAGTGTCCACGTGTTCGCGATTGTTGATCACGGAGGGAGGAGAGAGGAAAAAAAAAAAAAAGGAAAAAAAGAGGAAAAAGAGCAGCGAGAAAAATAAAAGAACGCGAAGACTTATGACTATTGGAACGAACGTAAATCGGGAGAAAAGTGAATTTTATGTATCGCCTCGCGTTTACGTCATATCGGGCGTTGAACGAAGATAAAAAAAAGCAGAAAGAGAGAGAGAGAGAAAGAGAGAGAGAGAGAGAGAGAGAGGCGAAAAAGCTAAGATTCGAGAAGGCGCGAAAACTCGCGACGAACGGAAAAACCTCTTCGAACGATTAATCATTGCGAGGTGACGCGTGCGCTCGTTATCCGATGTTTCAGCGCTTCCTGGTCGAGGACGAACTTAAAAGAAAAAAAAAAAAAAAGAAAAGAGAGAGAAAGAGAGAGAGAGAGAGAAAGAGAGAAAAGAAAAACTTGCTTGCTTCGTTTGTCGTTATTCACGTGGTTCGTTGCGCGGCGTTCTGTTGCAGGCGATACGGGACGAAATGCAGCGGTTGCCTCCAGGGGATAAGCCCGCAGGATCTCGTGAGGAAGGCGAGAGACAAGGTTTTCCACCTGAATTGCTTCACCTGCCTGGTGTGTCGGAAGCAGATGAGCACCGGAGAGGAGCTCTATGTCCTGGACGACAACAAGTTCGTCTGCAAGCAGGACTACCTGTCGGGCAAGCCGCTGCCGGACACGCATCACGTGCACGGTCATCATGGTGAGTTACAAGTGTCATTGTCCCTCGTTATCCACCGCGAAGAGAAACACCACCGCGAGACAGAGACAATCCGCGTGTCGCTTTGTTCCGTTCGTTTGCCCGGAATCCGATTTGCGGAACTATACTGGTATTGCCGGCTAGCGGCATGTTATCGATTGTATACCCACTCGTTTGTTCTATGAACGGGCGCGATTTAAAACGATCGTAATTTTAGCCGTGGAAACCGAGCCGATGCCCATCCATGTGCTCCTGCGCGTAAACCAAATCGTTGTTACGGATTCGTTTCGCGATCGCTCCGTAATTCGCATCGTATTTGAGGCTACGTCCTTCGAGCCAACCCAACCTCCTCAACGTTCAATCGTTTTTTCCGAAAAACGAATCTTTTTCGAAAAAATAAACTCCACCGCGATTCACCTCGCTTTCCATTTTTCCTCCGACTAGCCCTCCCGATATAGATAGGGAATAATTCACGCCTGGTCGGAAGGACGTCAAATTCGCTTAAAAAAGATAAAGCGCGATCACGGAACGTCCGAGATTTCTTCTAATTTTTTTCGAAGACAAATAAGGGATCGCAGAGGCTGGAAGAGTCACACGGGGGAGGGAGAGCACGGTTCGACGCGCCCGATGCGTCCGAGATTTCACGAAGTCAGGTTTAAAAAAAAAAGAAAAGAGAGAGAAAGAAAAAAAAAAAGAAGGGAGGCCGGGGGTAGGTTTTTCACGGAGGTTTTATCCCGGTTGGAACGGCACAAGCTGTGAAAACAGCGCGCATGTAACCGACCGCCAGCCACCAGCCGAAAGAGAAACAGAGAAAGGGAGGAGGAGGTGAAAAAAAAAAAAAAAAAGGGGCAAAGCGCGCGAGAGCGAGCGAGAGGGAAGGAAAAGAGCAGCAGCTCGGTTTCACGAGGATCTCTCGCCGGTGTGTAAGCCGTGAAACGAAAACCGAAAGGTCGTTAGGCAGGGGCAAACCTTTTGTCGCTTCGATGCCGACGCTTCGAAACCGCAAAATGTCCGACGACTCGTTTTCTTTTCCCTTTTTCTTTCGCCACGGGAGCGCGCCGCGTCTCTCCTTTTTCTCCTTCCAAATGCAAATTTCGACGCGACGCGGCGTCAGACCGTTTCCCTTCCACGTCTCGAGATGCTCGCGACCACCCCTCGCTCGCCCGCCCGCCCGCCTGCCTCTTCCCCCCCCCCCTCCCCCTCTCCTCCCCTCTTTTTCGCGTGGAAGAGACTCGGGCGAAAAAAATATTCGACGACTCGGCGAACGCATCTATCTCGGCATCTATCGTACATCTACTATCGGCCGAGGCGCCATTTTTCCAACGGCCTCCTATTCCTTTCGATAAGACGAATTCGAAGAGGCGACGGAACCAAGGCTCGCGAAAAGTATAGATAGAACGAGGAAGGGAGGGGAGGAGGAGGAAGAGGAGGAGGAGGAGGAGGAGGAGGACAACGATTACTCGTTTCGATGATCAAACATCGTGACGTCTGGATATTCCACGCGTATTCCGACATTAATCTCTATCACCGTGCAGCCATTTGTCAGTTGTCGAATTCACGGTGATCGTCTGCGGCGTATGCGAAAAGCGCAGCAATTACGCGACGAGTGTCGATTAATCAGCAACGTTTATTGAAAACTTTTAGAATCTTTTGTCGCGAAATTGCGACGCGGAAACGCGCGTAGATCGGACATAGAGAGGAGGGGAGGGAAATTGCGAAATTTAAAGGAAAAAAAAAAAAAATGAACACGGTATGACGCGGTGTAGATCCACGAGCGAATAACCGTAATCACGTTTAATTGCTAATTTCGTATGGAACATCGACAAATTCACTCGTTCCGTTGATAAATTATATTCTATTTACTATAGCGGATATTTTCGCCGCTCCGTACATCTAAAGTTGACGTTGATCGATGCAATTATTTTACAACGAAATTTTTCTAGCCACGCGATAATACCGTTTCTCGCGTCGTTTTACCATAATTATCATAACAAGTCGTTCGACGAGAGGTCCGTTTCGAGGAAAATTGTCTACGATTCGTAGACAAACGTAGGTCTTTTCCTAAGGGGAAGGGGAAAAAAAAGAAGGGGAAGAGGAGGAAAGCAGAGAACGAATGTCTCGACCACCTGATCGAATCGCTGATTTCGAAAGGAAATTCGTTCCCTTTTCCTGAAAATTTAACAGGGGTTTCTTTTCGCGATTCGAAGCTTTGAGTAGCCTGTAACGAACACAAAATCATTGAACAGAAAAGTGACTGGTGCTCTTTTCGAAGTCAATGATTCGACGAGCGATGTGATTAAAATACACGATTCGGATCGTTCACGAGCAGAATCGTCCAACCTGTCGACAGGAGGAGACTCGTTGATGGGTTCAGGATCGGAAGACGAGGACGAGGACGGTAGTGCTCACCATCATCACGGTGGTGTCGGTGGCCCTCACTTGGGGCCTCACAATCTGGGTCCAGGTGGTCCCGGTGACCAAACGGTCGGTCATACTGGCGATCTACCTCTTGGAAGCGATCCTTGTAAGCAGGAAGACTCCGAGGATCAAGGTAGGTCCACGTTACTTTGAACTCTAACTCTAACGTTTAACATTTTTTCTTTTTTTTTTTTTCTACAAATTTTATACACCTTTACCTTTCGTTTCGAAAATTCGAAAAACGATTCACGCAAATATTATTATCGATTATCTCGCTAAAAAAAATTGAATCGAACTTTCAAATAAGACATAGAAAGAAAAAAAAAAAAAAAAAAGAAAAAAGAATCGTCGCCAGCACAAACTCGATTTAGAAACGATTGACTGAGATCGACCAACGACTTAATCACGGCCAATCTTGCCCTTTCGTGGAACCCCTCCTCGAAACGAGGGAGGAAATTCGGTGGCTTGACCTGGAACGTCACCACGAATTACTAAGCGCGTCAGGTCTTCCCGCTCTATTATTCGCTTCTGCTCTTTTATCACGAGCGCGCGTAACACAATGACCCCTCGCTTTTACCTCTCTCGAACTGAGCTATACACCGGGTATACAAGCATCTATACCATGCTATTCGGCAAAGAGGAAAAGAGGGGTGTCTTCGCGAAGGGTGGCCCCTGTAGTGCGGTGTGACACTGTCCAAACATTTTCTTTGTCCCGTGGTTAAGACCTCCCCGGGTATATATATAGATTATCGTGAAGAGTTGGGATCCAAAACTACGCGCGGGCGCGCGTATACGTTGCATTACGTGTACGTGCACACGCACACACGCACACGCGTGCTTTGTAGAGTGTAGCTTTCGAGCGTAGACCAGCCACGATAATCCGATGGGGGTTTCGCATCGCTTCCGGGGGATTGGCTTCGATTGTTGTTACCTCGATCCAGCCGATCAAGATTCCGAGATATGTATATCATGCACGCGCGTCTGCGTGTAGAGCTTGTTAAGAAACCGTCCGTCGAGAGAGAGGGAAAAAAAAAAAAAAAGAAAGAAAAAACGCTCGCTATTTATTCGGCCTATATATATATATGTGTGTGTGTGTGTGTGTGTGTGTGTGTGTGTATAAAGCGAAATTCCCCATCGGGGATTTCGTGGATGGAAAAATATTCGTTACCTCTGAATTCTAATCGAGCGCGACTGCGTGCATTGGAAAATTGACGCGCGGTGAAATTAGGCTGAACAAAGTCGAGAGCGTCGGGAGGGGAAGCTTTGCTCGGGGCATTTGTTTCTCACGAAACAAGTGCGTTTACCCCCGCGGTGAGGGATCGATTATTAAACTGGTTTGTTTGCCGATTGGTCCAAGGTTCCCTGGACGGCGATCCCGAAACGAGGGATAGCCAAACGGAGAACAAAAGTCCAGACGGTGGTGCCGGTGGTGGTAGCGGCGACGGTGGTGCCGGTTCCAAGAGGCGGGGGCCGAGAACTACCATAAAGGCGAAACAATTGGAAATTCTCAAGTCGGCGTTTTCGTCTACCCCGAAACCAACGAGGCACATCAGGGAACAATTAGCGAAAGAGACCGGATTGCCGATGAGAGTGATACAGGTTTATAACACGTTTTTCATTACACCACTACTTCACTTCACCTCTGTTTCACCGAGTAGTAGGGACGGAATTATCTTCTTATATTCGACGAGCGAAATTAATTAAATCGAATCGAAGAGAGATTGGTTAAGGCTAATCCTAATCTAAGCAGGCGGCCAATTAAACGGAATGAAAAACAGCCGGGCGTAACGGTGTTCCCAGGTCTGGTTTCAAAATAAGAGGAGCAAGGAGCGTAGGTTAAAACAACTGACGTCGATGGGCAGGAGCCCGTTCTTCGGCGGCTCTAGAAAAATGAGGGGCTTCCCCTTGAACCTGAATCCCGGTGCTTTGGGCGGCGAGGACGGACCGCCGCCCGGTTTTCCATATTTCGGCGCGGAGAAGTTCGAATTCGGTTACGGCGGGCCCGTGGCATTTCACCATGAATTCTTTGGTGCTCATCCGCCCCCTCATCCACATGGACCGCCCTTCAGCGGACCAGGCAATCCTGGTGAGTCTCTGGAATTCGATCTCTTCTCTCCGAACTCTTAACTCTTCCCGATTTTCGACTCCTTTTTCGATCCCTTTCGATCCCCTTCATCATCGCGATAGAGAAGAGACCCAAGAATTTCGAAACGATCGTAACAATTGTTAAAACGGAACGCAACGTGTACACGATATTCAAACTCGGTTGCACGCGATCCTATCCGATATTAGCTATATCGAATAGCAGAACCTTGTCTCGAGTTCTATCGCGGCTATAATAAACATCGTAGCGGGTAGGTAGGTCGCGATAATTATGACAGCCGGGTTCGGAGATAGCTGGCCGGATACGATCCTCTCTGAATAGTACACGTAATCTGTTTCTGACAGGTTTGGACCCGGCGAGTTTAGCGGGTATGGCGGCCGCAGTGGCGGTGACAGGGGAATATCCACCTCCGGGTGCGGGAGGCGGCCCTCCGGAATTTCTCACGGGCCCTCCTGGACAGGGGCCCCCTGCACCTTCTGGCGGCAGTCCTGGAGAGTTCCTAGCACCTTCAGGTACGGACCAAATTCTTTCGAAAAAAGGTTTTACCGCCTTTCTGTCGGTAGAACGTTTTCTTTTTCTTTTTTTTTTTTTTTTTTTTTTTCTTTTTATTTTACCTCACTTTCGCAACAATCGTTTTCTCTCTCTTTCCTCGATGTACACGATTAATCATTTAATACGCTAAAATTGCGTTAACGAGACTCTGGGGGGTAATGGTGTGGGGTGTTGGAAACTTTGACAAATTGTAACGTGTATGCGGAGTATCGATATGGTAGAAAGTTTTCGCGCACAAAATTATCGTGCGATCGAAACCTTTCTAACAACTTGTACGTGTTCGAAGGAACGATTGGTTTCTTTCTTTCTTTCTTTTCCTTTCTTTCTTCGAATCTCAATATTTCTCTGTAATAGTTTTCGATGGATTTGGTATTTCTCAGGTGGAGCACAGGGTAATCCCAGTGCCGGTGGGAATGGTGGCGGTCCAGGTGGCGGCGGCGGCGGGGGTGGGTTCCTGGAGCCGCACCAGATGCAGAGCGAAGGGCTGGCCTGGTAGTACGAGTTTTAATTAACGTTTATTTTTTCTTCGTGTTTATGTTGCTTTCCATCGACCGAGCGAAAAATCGATCGAATTACGAAGAAGAATCGCGCGTACCCGATGGGGAGATCGTACGACTTTGTTCCGGCTTCAAAGACTTTTGCCCGCGAAGCGAACGTGGCGCGAGAGTCGAGCCAGGTCGATTTTGCATCTTGTACGTTTCTGTAAGATACGCATACGATAAGAAGATCGATCGTTTAGCTTCGTTTCTTTCACGGTTATCATTGTCATTATTAACATTATTATCTTTATTATTATTATTAATAATATTATTTTATTATTATTATTATTATTATTATTATTATTGTCGTTGGCCAACGCCAACGTTACTATTTTATTATTATTATTTTTATTATTATTATTATTATTATTATTATTATTATTATGAGTTATTAAATATTATTATTAATATTATTGTGTATAAAATTTCGAAATGTCCTATCGTGTAATATTATACCCTCCCTGTTGATTAATTTTCGACGTTAATTTTAAGAGAAATCCTGTAGATATCTGCTGTTCTACACCCGAGAAATACATGCGAAGGAAACACGTAAAGGAAAAAAAGAAAAAGAAAAAAAAAGATCATCGGAAAAGAGAAAAGGCATAACGTTACATCTAAAATACGTAAAAACACACAATACGAAACAGAATACAACAGGTACACGTACAGGCGACATTCAGTACACATGCGTAAATTCTACATTTAAAGAAACCGCTGTACTATTTATCAATAAAGTATAAATATAAATAGGAATGTGTAACCTGTAACTGTTAAGGTGGCGATCGATGTAAATAAATCTGTCTTTTTTTTTTTTGCGAGAGAAGCGCGCGAAAAACCATCAGTTGGCTGAGTTCTGTCACCGAACTGTGTCTGTAATTGTAACTTGCATTAAAAAAAAACGTCACACACGAGAGAAAGAGACACGCCGCCTCGATGCATAATGATTATAAATATTATTATAATAAACCACCTCGTATTTCCGTATACGTACAGTTGTGTGCATTTTTTTTTTCTCTCGTTTTTTATCTCTCTTTTTCCACACGCTAAAAAAAAAAAAAAAAAGAATTAAACCAACGCCATCAAGATCATCATTAAAAATGGTAAGTAAATCTCATTTTAATTTATAAAATTGCGCGAAATTCGTATTTTTAATAACGTTCTTATTTTTTTCTTATTTATCGCGCTTCTGTTCCTTCGAAATCGGGACCGATTTATTCCCGACACGTTTCCCATCCCCGAAAGTCGAAATCTCGGTTTCTTTCATTCATCCCCCCAGCGGGGATAAACACCTGAGACTATCGATATGTACTCGACGAGTCCTTTGGCCCGCCCCATCGCCCCCTTGAATCGGTGTCCGCAAACGCATCTGCGACTCGGGGCGCTGGCCTAACATCGTTAACAAACGGGTGCAACGTCGTTTTCCACGACGACGGCGGCGGCAGGGGGGGGATGCGGGAGATTCGTTTTCCTGGACATCTGGTGAATTCGATTTTGATGTGTTTCTGCCCTACGGGGGAGGGGAAGGGGATTGCACGCTTCCTCGGGGCTTCAGCATCGCCGTTCCCGTATCTCTGACAGTCCCGCTGGGGGCAGGAACGATGCTGCCTACGTCTCTCTGCTACGTGTGTTACACGCGTGATACAACCGTGTGTACACACGCGATATCGACCCTCGACGATCGTTCCCGACAAGTGTTCCTCCCTTAAGTACGTACGTAGCGCTGCCTCGCAGTTTACCGTTGCGTCCCCAGATACCTGTGTATTTTTCAACGGCGCGAAAACGTGGCCGACCACCTTTTTAATATTGCACCCGCCCGTTTGTCTTCTTGACGAGTTTTCGGGATCGCCCGCTCTTCTTTTTTTATTCTCTCCTCGCGTTTGAACGTGTTCTATCTATCTTTCTTTCTTTTTCTTTTCTTTTTTTTTTTTTTTCATTCGATGCACAATCCTTCTCAGTCTATGTTTCGAACCAATTATTGCGAGAAAAATCGATATTCGAAAAATCAAAATTATCGTTCGATGATTATTATTTATTAATTTTTCTCGATCGCGTCTATGATCTGCGCTGAAATTTTCCACGAGAATGAGAAGATCGGACGATCGTTGGGATCGTTTTTTCCTCTAAATCGGCTCGATCCCCCGACGAGCTACGGAGCCGCGTCCTCGCGGGAGTTTATCGTGGAATTTAACCGGATAGAGTGGCGACCAGAGTACACCGTGTGTACATTGTAACAGTGATTGGGAGGACGAAGGGCGTCGGTGTAGCGTGTAATACGTGTCCTGACGGATCTCTTGCAGAAGATCCATCGGGAGATTCGACAGATGCGTGCCCGCCTCCGCGCCCCAGGAACTACCACGGGGGTCTCGCGGGAGTCTTGCAGAGACAAACCGTCCCAGCGGGTCGGTATACACCCTACCGTATCATTTTTGTTACCCTCCTCGCTCAACGAGCGTTCTTAAACCCATCGACGAATTCTTGCGCAACGAATCGCGTCACGATTCCATTTCGATACGTTCGATAATCGCGCTTAATCGACAAATTAATCGATCCTTTCTCGACCATAAAGTGGATACTTCTTTTTTTCGTTTTTTATCGATGTTTAAAAATGTTTCGAAGAGAGAGAGAGATTTATTTATCGGCGAGAGATTTGTCCGGTTGGAAGGGAGAGATGCGAGATGCGTTCGGAAGCTGAAAATCCGAAAGAGGGGATCGCGTGGAAAGCGTGTTTCGAACATTCACGTGGCGGAGCACGTGTCGGGAGACAAGCCCCTGTCGCGCAAACCCCTCGTTCTTCTCCTATCATTACGCAAGGAGGCCTTACAAATCGTGGCCGGCTTACCGCGCACGTTCCAACTCTACCGCTCGTCGCTGCCTCGAATCAACGTGGCAAAGCTACCAATTAACCCTTGCCATTGCCGTTTGATCGCCGTCGTTTCCTCGGGAAATCAGGATCGATTGTTGCACCGTTGTGCAGCTTCCCGCAACGTTTCGCCTCAATCCCCGTCCCCCATTCCCCTTTGTATCGTTTTAATAAGAGGAACGATGCGACCGAAGCAATTGCAACGTCTTAATTACGTGTAATTGAGTATAAGCGCGGCATTATTTCTCTGCTCCTTTGTGGAAAAACCCTTTCGATTCCAAGTATTGTCGTATAAACACGCGTGGCTCGTTTGTTCCGCGAACCGACCGTTCCTGGAACCATATAAATTCGACGAGGGGTCGAATCGACGACGACGACGACGACGACGACGACCAACACCAGGCGCACAATGGAAACGTCTACCGGCCGTTGTCACCGATCGAGAAGAACGACGAGCACGGATGGAACGTGTCTTTTCGTGGCGTGTAGCAGGCAAGAACTTATTTTCCACTGTCTCGCTTCAACCGGGCGGACGGCAGAAGTGTCCGGAACGACCTCCCGGTGTTCAGGCCGGGCTTAGGCTAATCCGAAATCCGGATTACTCGTGCCTCAGCTGGTCCAGTCTTACCGGGCCACCGTCGTGTAACAGCGATAGCGCATTTTTTCCGCCGCATTAACGATCTCTCGATCCCTCGATCCGTACGAATTTACGTGGCTCGAGGAAAAACAAGGTTTCGATTCCCTCCGTTCGCATTTCCCAACTTTATCTCCCTCGCCTCCTTCTTTCTAAGTAGGAACGATCCTCATAAATATACTTATGCTAATTGCTCCGGTTTGTCCACCACCGGTTTCAGATCCGATGGATCTGCTGAATCACGCGCGCACGAGAATAATATATACACGCGTCTATAAGAGCGTCTGCACGGAACGGAAGTTCTTATGGCATTCCTATTACCGAGACACTCGGCGACGTATGTAAATAACACGTACCGAATGGATCGCTTTATCTCGCGCGTAGCGCGAAGCGTAGGTGTGTACGAGTATTTCTGTACCCAACGCGTGTACGCGTTTCCACGCGCGTCAATTTCAAACACGCGAGGAATTTTCGAAAGTTCGACACCCGCGACGAACCTTTCAATTCTCTCTCTCTCTCTATCGCGATACCGCGTTAATCGGATAGATTATAAATACGATCGTTCAACCTTGTCCCTCCGCGTTTGAATGTAACACCGAGTCTCTCTCTCTCTCTCTTTCTCTCCCGTCGCGCGTTTCTTCGTCTTGCGTTTTTCGATATGGTCGCGTGCGCGTATCTACCCTCTCGAACCCGCTTATCGGTACTTCCACCCCTGGCCCGGGAGCGAGATAAGTATTTGCTATTTAAAATACCAGTCCTCGCCGCGTGGGCCCCAAGATAAACTGTTCGTGCATCTAGGAGGGTGAAAGACGGCGTGAAAGGGAACGAGAGGGAGGGAAAAAGAGGGGTTGATTATAAACCGAGAGCAGAGGAGGAGGGGGGGGGTGGGGGGGGAAGGACGAGGGTGAAGGGCGGTGGAGTGTGCAGCAACAGCAACAGCAACAGCAGCCACGGCGGTCCAGCGTGAGGGTGGTTTATGGGGGGTTGTACCGGGTATTGTTGTATAAATAGGTTTGGCGAGTTAGGGGTTGCTACCCCCGAGGGAACTGCACATGTCCGCATCGATTATACCACCCCTTCCTGACCCCCCTCCCCCTCCCCCTCCACTTCTTCCGTCTCACTTCCATCTCGTTCTCGTTTCTCTCACCCCTTACGGGGAGGAGGGGGGGGGGCCTCTTCTCGATTCTCTGCCACCGGTGGGTGGTTTCAACTTCCCCCCCTTCTCCCCCTTCCTGACTCTGTCGTACAACGTGTCTCCATCCCTCTCTCGATTTTCCCCGTCTTTTTCTCTCGGCCACCCTCTCGTACGTCTATCGAAAGCTTTCTCCCCGCGGAGCCCACGGGGCACACCGCTCGGTTATTTTCAAGCCATTTGCTTTGTAAACGCACGCAATCTCGACCAGTCACCCTCTCCCTTTCTTCTTCTTCTTCTTCTTCTCCTTCGCTAGATTTTCACCCTCTCCTCTCTCCCTTCGCCTAATATTATAGGCCCTCGTGTTCGTTAACGTTCGATTTTTGGAAAGGAAGGAGAGGATGCGATCGCGAGCGAACAGGTGGAGAACCTGTTCGTTCCCGAGGAATCGTTGTTCGCGCTTCTTTCTTCCACTCTTTCGATTTACGACGACGAAATCCGACGAA